ACTCACTCAATTTTCGATTCGAACTTCTTACAAGCAGTGATGATCCCGGTCGTCACGTGCTAATCCACCATAGCGATCGTCACCCCGACAACTTAGTCTCTGCATGGTCCTGGATCCTACAATTCGTCGGGCGATCCAGCGCGACGCCGCCACGACAACAGTCAGCTCGTCGGGACTTTTCGACTCGCACCTTCCCACATACCACCTAGCCATTTCTTCTGGGAAGCTGGGAGATGAGTCGAGAGAGAGATTTTCACGAGCGCTTGTAGAATTTATAGTTGCGAAAAAGGAGATAGACGCTAGGAAGGGTTAGGATTGAGGTAGGGAGGGGTAGGGGGACGTTTGGGGATAATCGCCCGTCGAAAGCCATGTCGATCCTTCGGAGCCCAGTCGTAGCCAATCGGAATCATAGTGTAACAGGAATATCCTTCTCACACGGCGTGTCTCCTTGGCTAGAGGGGAAGAGGAGGAAATCGTTAGGGTATTCCGGCGCAAGGTTTAGAGTGGGAAGAAGAAGAGTGTGAAGGATAGCGCGAAACGGAACCAAGAAAGAGAAAAGGCGCACGAGGCGAGGGAGAGAAGGAAAACGGCTGCAGAGAGAGAAAGAGCGTGAGCACGAAGAAGAGAGTGTCGAAGGTAGCGAGGGAAGCGGGGAGGGAAGGTTCGCATGCATGGCGCCGACGCGGAGGCAAAGAGGGCATTGAAACAGTTGCATCTAATTCAAAATTGAAAAGTAGCATATCTACGTGTAGAGCGAGCACGGGAAAAAGTCCTATACCTGTTCAAATTCTTACCAAAATTCCCAGAGTTTTCCAAGATGAAGTCGAGAACATCCATGAACAAAAAAGGACACGCCAGGTTCCACTCATTCCTAAATTTCTAACCGTCAACCCAAATTCCTAGTGCGCTCGCTAAGGTGTGCATAACTCCCATGTATTTCCCGAATTGCGAAAAGATGAAATTCCAAACGCCGATCCAAAAATTGACGAAGGTCCGGAGAAGGACGGGTCTCCCTGATTACAAACAATGCACATTAATTCATGGAAATACAAAAAGAGGCCACATCGACCAGTTTGCAAGAATCACCAAAATTTGAAAAAGAGAGGGGGGGGGGGGGATTGGACAATGGCGCAGGTCCGGAAGCTGGCGC